GGAGGGTTGCAACATGCAATTCAACACTTTTGATTAGGATCTTACGAGCGTCGAAACTCTCAAGGAGTTTAATATTTATTTACATTTTCACTTTCAGTTTGGCTTGTCACCCTCTCCTTATCTTACTCATACTTCTCCCTCTCTCCCTCAAGGCTCAGCTCCCTCCCTCGCTCTCTCCCTCAAGGCTCAACTCCCTCCCTCTCTCCCTCAAGGCTCAGCTCCCTCCCTCGCTCTCTCCCTCAAGGCTCAGCTCCCTCCCTCTCTCCCTCAAGGCTCAGCTCCCTCCCGCTCTCCCTCAAGGCTCAACTCCCTCCCTCTCTCCCTCAAGGCTCAACTCCATCCCTCTCTCCCTCAAGGCTCAACTCCCTCCCTCTCTCCCTCAAGGCTCAACTCCCTCCCTCTCTCCCTCAAGGCTCAACTCCCTCCCTCTCTCCCTCAAGGCTCAACTCCCTCCCTCTCTCCCTCAAGGCTCAACTCCCTCCCTCTCTCCCTCAAGGCTCAACTCCCTCCCTCTCTCCCTCAAGGCTCAACTCCCTCCCTCTCTCCCTCAAGGCTCAACTCCCTCCCTCTCTCCCTCAAGGCTCAACTCCCTCCCTCTCTCCCTCAAGGCTCAACTCCCTCCCTCTCTCCCCCTCAAGGCTCAACTCCCTCCCTCTCTCCCCCTCAAGGCTCTGCTCCCTCCCTCTCACCCTCAAGCCTCTGCTCCCTTCCACCCTCCCTCAAGCTTCTACTCCTTCCCTCTCTCCCTCAAGGCTCAGCTCCCTCCCTCAAGGCTCAGCTCTCTCCCTCAAGGCTCAGCTCCCTCAAGGCTCAGCTCTCTCCCTCAAGGCTCAGCTCCCTCTCTCTCTCCCTCAAGGCTCAGCTCCCTCTCTCTCTCCCTCAAGGCTCAGCTCCCTCCCTCAAGGCTCAGCTCCCTCCCTCAAGGCTCGGCTCCCTCCCTCAAGACTCGGCTCCCTCCCTCAAGACTCGGCTCCCTCCCTCAAGACTCGGCTCCCTCCCTCAAGGCTCGGCTCCCTCCCTCAAGGCTCGGCTCCCTCCCTCAAGGCTCGGCTCCCTCCCTCAAGGCTCGGCTCCCTCCCTCAAGGCTCGGCTCCCTCCCTCAAGGCTCGGCTCCCTCCCTCAAGACTCGGCTCCCTCCCTCAAGACTCGGCTCCCTCCCTCAAGACTCGGCTCCCTCCCTCAAGACTCGGCTCCCTCCCTCAAGACTCGGCTCCCTCCCTCAAGACTCGGCTCCCTCCCTCAAGACTCGGCTCCCTCCCTCAAGACTCGGCTCCCTCCCTCAAGACTCGGCTCCCTCCCTCAAGACTCGGCTCCCTCCCTCAAGACTCGGCTCCCTCCCTCAAGACTCGGCTCCCTCCCTCAAGACTCGGCTCCCTCCCTCAAGACTCGGCTCCCTCCCTCAAGACTCGGCTCCCTCCCTCAAGACTCGGCTCCCTCCCTCAAGACTCGGCTCCCTCCCTCAAGACTCGGCTCCCTCCCTCAAGACTCGGCTCCCTCCCTCAAGACTCGGCTCCCTCCCTCAAGACTCGGCTCCCTCCCTCAAGACTCGGCTCCCTCCCTCAAGACTCGGCTCCCTCCCTCAAGACTCGGCTCCCTCCCTCAAGACTCGGCTCCCTCCCTCAAGACTCAGCTCCCTCCCTCAAGACTCAGCTCCCTCCCTCAAGACTCAGCTCCCTCCCTCAAGACTCAGCTCCCTCCCTCAAGACTCAGCTCCCTCCCTCAAGACTCAGCTCCCTCCCTCAAGACTCAGCTCCCTCCCTCAAGACTCAGCTCCCTCCCTCAAGACTCAGCTCCCTCCCTCAAGACTCAGCTCCCTCCCTCAAGACTCAGCTCCCTCCCTCAAGACTCAGCTCCCTCCCTCAAGACTCAGCTCCCTCCCTCAAGACTCAGCTCCCTCCCTCAAGACTCAGCTCCCTCCCTCAAGACTCAGCTCCCTCCCTCAAGACTCAGCTCCCTCCCTCAAGACTCAGCTCCCTCCCTCAAGACTCAGCTCCCTCCCTCAAGACTCAGCTCCCTCCCTCAAGACTCAGCTCCCTCCCTCAAGACTCAGCTCCCTCCCTCAAGACTCAGCTCCCTCCCTCAAGACTCAGCTCCCTCCCTCAAGACTCAGCTCCCTCCCTCAAGACTCAGCTCCCTCCCTCAAGACTCAGCTCCCTCCCTCAAGACTCAGCTCCCTCCCTCAAGACTCAGCTCCCTCCCTCAAGGCTCAGCTCCCTCCCTCTCTCCCTCAAGACTCGGCTCCCTCCCTCAAGACTCGGCTCCCTCCCTCAAGACTCGGCTCCCTCCCTCAAGGCTCAGCTCCCTCCCTCAAGGCTCAGCTCCCTCCCTCAAGGCTCAGCTCCCTCCCTCAAGGCTCAGGTCCCTCCCTCAAGGCTCAGCTCCCTCTCTCTCTCCCTCAAGGCTCAGCTCCCTCCCTCAAGGCTCAGCTCCCTCCCTCAAGGCTCAGCTCCCTCCCTCAAGGCTCAGCTCCCTCCCTCAAGGCTCAGCTCCCTCTCTCCCTCCCTCAAGGCTCAGCTCCCTCCCTCAAGCGTCAGCTAACTCCCACTCTCCCCTGAAGCCCTTGCTCCCCCCCCCCCCCCCCCCCCGGGGACCTCTAATGACCCGTCAGACCCGACCAGCTGCCCAACCACCTGAAAAATGACGCCTCTCCTCCTCCTCCTCCTCTTCCCTTCCTTCGTTTTGACACGTCCAAGCTTGACGCCTTGACATTTTCATCTTGACATCTTGGACTTTTGACGCGGGACTTGAAGAGCTTTGAACGTGACAAAATTGAATTGACAACATCTTGGGCCCCGCCTGACATTTTGGCTTTAACATATTAATAAAAATAATGACATGTGGGGGTATATATATCTACATGTCATAACTATGTCATGCTGCACATATATTCTCATTGTTTACAAGGAACTCAACGACACATATAGAGAACCTTATAACAGCCAGGAGGGGGGGGGGGAGGGGGAAGGGAACTATCAGGGGGGGAAAGCGCCAAGCCATTACAACTATATAGCACTGAGAAGGGGTCAGGATGAGGATTTGGGATGGGACGGGGGGAAGGAATGGTGGCCCACAACCACTTGGATGGTCGGGGATTGAACGCCGACCTGCAAGAAGCGAGACCGTCGCTCTACCATCCGACCTAAGTTGTTGGACGGGGAGAGGAGAATGGGGAGAGGGAAGGGGTGGGGGGGGGAGGAGGAGAAGGGGGTGGGGGGGGAGGGGGAGAAGGGGGGGGCAATTGAAGCTCCTCAACAGCACTAGTAATTAATCCCAGCAATTATTGTGCTATATTACGTTATTTGAATATACCCTAATATATATATTACGTTAGTATATCACGTTATTTTGACGTTGAAAAACACGTTTGTTTCACCTCCGCGGATTACGTCGCGTGTTTGCTGAACGTCATATTTGGGGTTTCCAAAAAGTTAATATTCGATACGATTACTGTGTGGGTCGCTTTGGGTTGTGACAATTTAATGCTCTTTCTGCTATGTTCAAGCTGAAGATTCACCCATTTTCACCAACTATAAATGAAAAAAACAAACAAAAAACATATATGTTCAATGTATGGATGAAGAATGTTGTTGTTGTTGTTGTTTAAGATTCGCTACTTGGAACAAAAAGTTGCTGGTAGCACGGGCTATGGCGAGCCCGTATGGATGCAGGATTTGGGTGAACAGTGGGGGGCACAAATCTGTGTGTTGAACACTAGTGAACAGTACTCGCTGCCTCCTTGTTTGGTCCCTTCATAAACAGTAAGACGTTGGTAAGGCTGGGAATGTGTGTCTTGTCAGTGGACATTTTGTCTCACGGTCTTGGGAAATTCTGAGAGGCATAGAGAGGGAGAGGGAGAAAGGGAGGGGTAAGAGAGAGGGGTAAGAGAGAGGGGTAAGAGAGAGGGGTAAGAGAGAGGGCTAAGAGAGAGGGCTAAGAGAGAGGGCTAAGAGAGAGGGCTAAGAGAGAGGGCTAAGAGAGAGGGCTAAGAGAGAGGGCTAAGAGAGAGGGCTAAGAGAGAGGGCTAAGAGAGAGGGCTAAGAGAGAGGGCTAAGAGAGAGGGCTAAGAGAGAGGGCTAAGAGAGAGGGCTAAGAGAGAGGGCTAAGAGAGAGGGCTAAGAGAGAGGGCTAAGAGAGAGGGCTAAGAGAGAGGGCTAAGAGAGAGGGCTAAGAGAGAGGGCTAAGAGAGAGGGCTAAGAGAGAGGGCTAAGAGAGAGGGCTAAGAGAGAGGGGTAAGAGAGAGGGGTAAGAGAGAGGGCTAAGAGAGAGGGGCAAGAGAGAGGGGTAAGAGAGAGGGGTAAGAGAGAGGGGTAAGAGAGAGGGGTAAGAGAGAGGGGTAAGAGAGGGGAGGTGGAAGGGATTGGATTGGAGGAGGGGAGTGGAAGGGATTGGATTGGAGGAGGGGGAGTGGGAGGGATTCGTGGAAGGAAGAAGTGGAAGGAGGGGAGGGGGGGGGAGGAGGGACTGGAATAGAGGGGGCAGGGTAGGGTAGGGGGGGGGTTTGGGTTGATGGGAAGGGGGGTTGGGGGCAGGAAGAGGGGAGGGGAGGGGGGGGAGGGGGGGAGGGGGAAGTTAGGTGGTGATTCATCTTCGATTTTCTGCGCCATTCATCTTTCATTAGACTTTTTTTTGTACTTAAAATGACATTCATTATTCACGGAAAAATTCCATTACCGCGTTATGCTGCTACAGTTCTTACGTGGGCACCCCCTCCCCCCTGCTTCCCCCCCCCCCCTTACCCCCCCCCCCTCACCCCTCTCTTGTCTACTGCCTCCCTTTCCCCTCGGTCTCCACGCCCCCCCCCCTCCCTCTACCCTCCCCTCTCTCTCTCTTTTTCTTAAATCCAATTTCCAAACTCTGGCAGGAGACCTTACGCGCCGGGAAACAAATCGCAGATCATCTGAAAATCATTAATCCTAGCGATTGCATTAAACTTGTACCACCTGCCGCCGACAACCGCGAAACTTGGCTTGCAAGAACTGGCCCCAGGGTCTTCTGGGTCTATGGCGGGGTCCTTCTGGGTCTACGGCGGGGTCCTTCTGGGTCTACGGCGGGGTTACTTCTGGGTCTACGGCGGGGTACTTCTGGGTCTACGGCGGGGTTACTTCTGGGTCTACGGCGGGGGACTTCTGGGTCTACGGCGGGGGGACTTTTGGGTCTACGGCGGGGGACTTCTGGGTCTACGGCGGGGTACTTCTGGGTCTACGGCGGGGGACTTCTGGGTCTATGGCGGGGTCCTTCTGGGTCTACGGCGGGGTACTTCTGAGTCTACGGCGGGGGGACTTTTGGGTCTACGGCGGGGGACTTCTGGGTCTACGGCGGGGTACTTCTGGGTCTACGGCGGGGGGACTTTTGGGTCTACGGCGGGGGGACTTCTGGGTCTACGGCGGGGGGACTTCTGGGTCTACGGCGGGGTCCTTCTGGGTCTACGGCGGGGGGACTTCTGGGTCTACGGCGGGGGACTTCTGGGTCTACGGCGGGGGACTTCTGGGTCTACGGCGGGGGACTTCTGGGTCTACGGCGGGGGACTTCTACGTCCAAATCAAGGCCTGCAGAACAGGTCTTGATTCCCTATTAGGCTATATATAGCTATATTCCCTATTAGGCAGCTCCTATTAGGCTGCCTCGTACGTACCTATGGGCACATACGAGGCAGCTCCTATTTATAACCACCCAACACATATTCTATTATGTGTTGATACTTTTATACCCTATTAATATCCCTTAGTTATGCCCATTCATCCACTTCTACACCTCTGTCATATCACCTCTAAGTCTTCGCCTTTCTAGAGAATATAAATTAAGCTTTGTCAATCTCTCTTCTTAAGAAAGGTTTCTAATTTGCCAGATTAACTTTGTTATCCTTTAAGAACGCGTTCTAGTTAATTTATATCCATTCAATAATATGGCAACCAAAACTGAATTGCATAATCTAAATGGGGCCTAACAAGAACAAGATACAGCTGTAGAACTACACCAGGTATTTTATTTCTAACGCTTCTTGAAATAAATCCCAGTGTCTTATTTGCCTTATTTCGAACATTTATGGCTTTAAATTCTTATTAATCTTAACTCTCAGATCCGTTTCGCAATTCGACTTCGCAATCTCAACACCATCTAGCTCGTATCTTGTAACTCTATCATCGTTACTTAACCTCAAAACTTTACATTTTCAGCATTAAACTGCTTCTGCCAATCTTTTGACCATTTCAAAACCCTATTTAGATCGTCTCGAAGTGATAGTGAATCTTCTTCCGTGTTTATTTGTCTCCCTATTTCCGTATCGTCGTCAACTTTGCATATATTGCTGCTCAAACCTGAATCTAAGTAATTTATATATATATATATATATATATTATGAATAACAGAGGTCCTAGGACAGAGCCTTGCGGAACTCCACTTACAGCATTTACCCACTCTGACTTAACCTTTGGCGTGTGCCTTTCCATTGGAGACTTTTAGCGCCGTGGAGAGGGGGGACCTGCTGCATGGGTAACAGCTTCTCTCCCGAATCAACCTACCCTGGCTTTGCGCCCTGGTGAGGCCACTCCAGACCGACAACCAGAGCGCAACTCCATAGTCTCCTGAGACTGATGGATGCCTACTACTATTTCCTTTGGTATAGCCATGTCCTAATCCAACTTAACATAGCACCCCCAATACCATGAGCCTCTAACTTTTTAATCAGTCTTTCATGTGGTACTGTATCAAAAGTTTTGGTAAAGTCTAGGTACACAACATCACAATCCTTACCACTATCAACTGCCTCAACTTTCCTGGAACAAAATGACAGCAAATTTGTTAAACATGAACGGCCATTTGTAAAACCATGTTGTGAACCATTTATTAATCTATGTTTATCAAGATGAAGAAGAATGCATTTTGCAATTCTCGATTCAAGCAACATTTGTACAATGGACGTTAAGCTAATTGGCCGATAGTTTATCTTCTATCGTGATAGCTCAGTGATCTATCTATCTTTCTTGAAAATTGAGGATTGAAGCAAAATGGCGTGGTTTGCTGTTTGTTGGAGCAAGATGGCGTTGTTTGTTGGAGCAAGATGGCGTTGTTTGTAAGCCTCTGGCTGGCCCACTAAGTGTTGCTTGTTTCTGTTTTACTTGGGCGGAGTATGAGTATTTATGACTCGTATGGTCGCTTCAGTAAGATTTTGTCCCATGTGTGTTTAACAACTTCTTCTGCTCTGTTGAATCTAAGTTGAAATCTTAATGGGTTTGTAACTGTGCACTGGACGAATTCTTGTTCTAGACTGACTTTCCCCATTCTTAATCGTTTTGTATCAAGCTCTCTTTCTACCTATAAGGTAGAAAGAGGTTCAAGTTGTATGGTATACTATGAATAATGTTGGACAATGACAGCCCCTTTCAAAGCTGGAGAAATTGCTGACCTGAAGAGCGTGCAGAGATCCTTTACTGCTAGAATCCACTCAGTAAAACATCTAAACTATTGGGACCGACTAAAGAGCCTAAATCTGTATTCTCCTGAGCGCAGGCGGGAGAGAGAAATGATAATTTACTCGTGGAAAATAGTAGAGGGGCTGGTCCCAAACCTGCACACAGAAATAACATCACATGAGACCAGAAGACATGGCAGGATGTGCAGAATACCCCCGTTGAAGACCAGAGGTGCAACAGGTACTCTGAGAGAGAACTCTATCAACATCAGAGGCCTGAGACTGTTCAACACGCTTCCACTACACATAAGGGGCATAACTGGCCGACCCCTCACAGTGTTCAAGAGAGAACTGGATAAGCACCTCCAAAGGATACCTGATCAACCAGGCTGTGACTTATATCTCAGGCTGCGAGCAGCCGCGTCCAACAGCCTGATTGACCAGTCCAGCAACGAGGTCTGGTCAAGGACCGGGCCGCGGGGACGCTAAGCCCCGATCTCATCTCAAGATAACCTACTACGTTTCTGTACTTTGTTCAGAATATTTTTAAATAAGTTATATTAAGAACCTATACACACAGAAATCACAATAGCGTGATACATAAAGAAACAAAATGCACAAGGACCGTGATGAGGGTTCGAACCTAAGTCCGGAATGATCCCAGATGCTCCATATTTGTGTCTCTGGAGAGGCTGCGGGATCCGTGATAAGGCAGTAGCACTCCCGGTTGCAATTCTTTTGACCCTGTCTTGGTGCAGTCGACTAAGGCGCCTCTGGGATCATCCCGGACGTAGGTTCGAAACCTCATCACGGCTCTTGTGCCTTTGCTAATGTTCTTATAAAATAGATTTTAAAGATCGGTATTTCACGAACCAAACCGGGCAGTAGTGGATGTGTGGGCCTGCGGGCCGCTCCAAGCAACAACAGTCTGTTGGACCAAGTTATCACAAGTCGAGCCTGACCCTAGGAGAGTAGATGAACTCGTGAAACCCTCTCCGGGTATTTGAACTCCCCCGGTACCTGATCAACCAGGCTGTGATTCTACGTCTGGCCTCCGGAACGGAACTAACAAGAGGTAGTTAGGTATATAGGTCTTAAGAGAATTGGATCGCCTTGAGGCAGGTTTCATCTACAGCTCGCAAGCACTAAGGCTAAGCGGATCCTTCGCTTGCAATGGATATCTTGAGGTTATCTTGAGATGATTTCGGGGCTTTAGTGTCCCCGCGGCCCGGTCCTCGACCAGGCCTCCACCCCCAGGAAGCCAGCTGACTAACTCCCAGGTACCTATTTACTGCTAGGTAACAGGGGCATTCAGGGTGAAAGAAACTTTGCCCATTTGTTTCTGCCTCGTGCGGGAATCGAACCCGCGGCACAGAATTACGAATCCTGCGCGCTATCCACCAGGCTACGAGGCCCCCATATCAGTATATAGTGACCTCGATCCTATAAAGCTTGATTGCACAGCTTAAGAATTATTGCATATTGCAGAGTATTGAGTTAATTCGAATTACAATTATTACAACCATTAAGTCATTAGAATTATTACAACCAGACAGTTGTTGGCTGCTAGGATCAACGTCCATACGGCCCGGTCTCTGACCAGGCTTCCTAGTTGGTAGTCTGGTCAACCAGGCTCTTCGACGCTGCTGCTCACAGCCTGGTTGATCAGATATCCTTAGGAGGTGTTGATCAAGTTCTTTCTTGAACGCAGTGAGAGGTCAGCTAGTTATGCCCCTTACGTGTAAGGGGAAAGTGTTGAAACCATTTAGGCCCCCCTGATGTTGATAGTTCTCTCTCAACGTAACTATTGCACCTGTGCTTTTCAACGGGGGGCTATTTTGCACATCCTGCCATGCCTCCTGGTCTCGTGTGGTGTTACTTACGTGAATAGATTTAAAGGTATTCCCTTAAATATTTTCCAAGTGTAAATTATTATGTGTTAGAAATTAATGTGTTACTTTGCTTATTCATGGTTCAGTTAGTTATAATTACAAATACAAAAATATTATAAATACGCAGTTAAATAAGGCATGTGCTTAATGCCTCCAGGGGAAATAATGTTAGAAATATCGTGAGGGTAGATACGCTATGATATACGCTATGTGTACACACACACACACATATACACACACACAGGGAGCCGGCGTCCAGCGGACAGCACGCTGGACATGTGATCCTGTGGTCCCGGGTTCGATCCCGGGCGCCGGCGAGAAAGGATGGGGCAGAGTTTCTTTCACCCTATGCTCCTGTTACCTAGCAGTAAATAGGTACCTGGGAGTTAGTCAGCTGTCACGGGCTGCTTCCTGGGGTGTGTGGGTGTGGTGTGGGGAAAAAAATTGTAGTAGTAGAAACAGTTGATTGACAGTTGAGAGGCGGGCCGAAAGAGCAGAGCTCACCCCCCGCAAGCACAACTAGGTGAATACAACTAGGTGAATACAACTAGGTGAATACAACCAGGTGAATACATACTCTAAGAGTCATAAATGTATAGAACGGCCAAAAAATTGAAAGTTGTCGAAGTTAATTCGATTCACAGATTTAACTGCAAATATGATAAGACAAATGAGTCCAAAGTCAAATGAACAAATCCACAAGGGCCGTGACGAGGATTCGAACCTGCGTCCGAGAGCATCCCAGACGCTGCCTTAATCGACTGAGCTACGACATGGTCAAAAGGACGCAGGTTCGAATCCTCGTCGTCCTCAATCCTTAAGCCAATCCTTCGAATCCTCGTCGTCCTCAATCCTTAAGCCAATCCTTCGAATCCTCGTCGTCCTCAATCCTTAAGCCAATCCTTCGAATCCTCGTCGTCCTCAATCCTTAAGCCAATCCTTCGAATCCTCGTCGTCCTCAATCCTTAAGCCAATCCTTCGAATCCTCGTCGTCCTCAATCCTTAAGCAAATCCTTCGAATCCTCGTCAATCCTTAAGCCACTTAAGAGCCCCATGTTCAACCCAGCAAGCACAACTAGCTGAATACAACTTAGGGGAGTACGTTTCGGGCCCCCAACCAAAGGCATTCTGACCAGGTTGGCAGCCAAAGGCGAGGACGAAACCGTATTTTGCCTGAGCCCAACAGCTCCGGCTCTGCCAACAATATACATAATGTATTTTAATATATACACCGCCTGGAGGAGCAGGTCGACGTCAGAGGACG